CTCCACCACTGTTACTACTGCCACTTGGCAATTCAGAAGGACCCTGCTGTCCTATTTCTTCTAAGGAATGCTGTTGATGTAAAACAAACAGAAACCTCTGCCTGCCGAGGTTTTGTTCTTTGAATCTGTAAATCTTGTATAAAAGCATGCCTGCCTCATGGAGTACTGCAGAGACCAGGGGTGCACATCTTGGCGATTTCTGGCTCTGGGGTGAAGCAGGTACTGCAGGGAGGTCAGGTAGCTCTGCTTGCAGCAAAACATGTAATGAGATGAGCTGTAACAGATTACTTTAAGTGAAGTAGATTAAAAGGGGGAAAGAGCTGCTTTTGCTCTTTGGTTTGTTCTTTTTCTGTGCATGTCAGCATTCTGTGCATACAAATCTTTATATTGAGTTAATTCCTTCCGTCGTGTTTGTTTGGATCTTTCGCAAAGCGGCAGAGAAGAAAAAAGTATTAAACCTCAGGAATATAAATGCAAAATCACAGGAATAGGCAGAGATAAAAATGTATGGGGTTTTTTATTTTGGAGGAGAGTTGCTTATCTTATGAAGTGGATTAGTTGAGAATATTCTAAACAACTTCTGCTTCCCTATTTAGTTCCATTAATTGATTTATTCAGGAATTAAAAAAAAAGAAAAAAAGCTGCATTGGTAGCAGAAGATACAGGGCCCAGCCTTCTGTGGAGCTCACTTATTTTAGCCGTGTCCAGTGGAGGTGCTCTGGTGCCTGATATTGCAAGTAAGCCTACACTGCTGTTTCTCAGTGCAGGCACTAATGAGTCTTTTCTTTGTCCACTCCAGTTGCATGAAATGTGGAGACTTAATCACTTTGTGGACTGCATATTATGTCAAATTTTACTGAAAATGACTGGCAAATTTAATAGTTGATTGGGGACTCATCAATAGAAATATGTTTAGCAAGGCTGTGTTTGTTGACAAAATCAAGCTAAATGATCTCTCACTCTTTTCATCTCCTTATAATGAAGCAAATATAATTAACAGCCTGATTTGACATTTTATCGAGAATCAGTCTCATGGGATGAAGAGGTGCATGTTCATCTTTCAGTTTGGGATTTCGAAAAACTTCAAGAGCTGTTGGCTGCTGCTGAGGTTTAAAATCTGAGCAGGGTCAGCAGACTGCCTGTCACTGGTGAACTCTTTCCGTGACCAGCTCAGCAGGACACACACCTCTGCATCTTTAGTCGTGTCTTCTAATGGCACAGCTTTGTACTCTATGTAACTTTTTCCTGTATCTGTCCCAAACTTTGATCTGTTGCTAGTTCTCAGTCAAGCTTGACTGACAGACAGGCCGAGGTTGACCAGCACTTTCACCCATTTCGTGAAAACTGGCAACTGAGAATCCTGTGAAAGCTTCCTGAAGCCGATACTGAGGTGAAAATCTGTACCAATAAAAGTACAAGTATGGTCAGATGAGAGAGAATTGTGTGGAAGCCAGTCCTTAGAAATATCAGAGTCCAAGAAAGCTTCAGTAGGAGCTTACAATGAACAGTGTGACACAAAGTACTGGCAGACTGGAATTAGTAGACTTAGAGCTGAGAGCTGAGAGAAGTACCGCTGACAGCTGCTGTGGAGAATGAAATGAACCTCAGCAGCTGAGGGAGGGCTGCTTGCTTTCATGCTTTTGTAGGTTTTGCTGTGGATTAACAGGTAGGCTTTGTGTATTTGTGTATTTGTCTCACGTTCTACTGAAAAGTCTTGGGCTAAGTAATGCAACTGAGGTGCAGCTTTGAATAAGGAAGGGTTCAAAAGCAAGGTAGGCAGTGGTAGTGTGACCTTTGGATGGGAAAACTTCCATACCTTTGATCCACAACACTTTTAGGGTTTATAATGGAATGTGATGTGTAGCTTTTTTCTTCTTTTTTTCACCCCCTTCACAAACTACAAAATTTACCGTTTTTTCTTATCTTTGAAATCAGAAAATGTAGAGATGTAATTGTCCTGCATAAGCAGTTTCAGGTAAGAGTGAGGTATATGGTATGATACAATCTTACACTGAAAATTTTGGCCTAAAAGTGTACAAAAATAAAATGGAAGATAAATAGCTTTGGTCCTCAGTGGCAAAATTGTCACTTGTCTAAATTGTTACTGTTGACTTTGAGGTCAGCAATGTTTTCTCTTGAATTATGCTGCATCAGAGAATATTTATGCTCATATTGGAATTATCCTTATAAATTAATAATAGCCTTAGTATTTTTTCCCTGTACTTCTCACTTTATCTCCCTTTTTTTAAATAGTGCAAGTTCAGAGAAACATTTATGAGTCTATTTTTCTGAAATTTTAAGATTATTCCTACTTTTCCATAGGAAGTAGAAATCTTTACTAACAAGCAAAAAAATGTTTTTTCAAAGTAAGCTGGTTTTTTTTTTTTTATATTTGTTTTTTTTTTTTATTTTCAGTGGTTTTAGAAGTAAAATGGCATAACTCTTGGGACAGAAAAGACAGACAATCTTCCGAATATAGACCACTGCAATGCTGTTCTAAAAGCAATAGGATATTAATTCTGAAGCATCTGTTACATTAACATTGTTCCCATGTGGATGGTTCATAAGGAAAAGCTTCACTCATTTTAAAACATAAACTAATTAAAAGTATATTTGATTTGAGTAGCTTATTTTTAGTTTTTGGTTTTTTAAAATTCATTCAAGCTAATTTATGCTATTCTGAGTCGTCACCCCATAGACTTGTTCCCTTAGTTTTATTTTTCTTTAGTTTTGATTTAATGGATGGTTCTGCTTCTTATTAAAAGTGATGTCTTAAAAAAGAAATCTGTGTAAACAGTACCTCATCTGCAGTCTACAAGTCTAATAGTCATGTTAGACCTATGAACTTTTTGCTGGAAGGCTTGGAGTTAAGGCTGAAGAATAATCAAAGGATTGTTGAAGAACAAGGGAAAAAAGGGATGTGTAAGTAAGAATTATGTAACTACACAGGAATTTGCTATAGTGTTATACTTTATAAACATATGTCTGTCTCATGTATCTCTGCTGTCTTGGAGAGTTGGTGATTCTTGGCTATGTAATGACCTATGAGGACATACAGAGCCTCTGGATAAATGGTATTTACCAGCATAAAGGAAAACTGAATTGGTATTTCGATTGAACAGTGTGTTTGACTTCAAGTTTCTTCAGATGTTATGTAGGGCACTAGATTTGCTGCTCTGTAGCAAACACATCATATTCCTAAACCTCGCCATCAACTCAGTTATGATTGTTGTAAGAGGTGCAACAGGTAACTTCAGTGAAAAATGAAGAATGTAACTAATAGCTCATTGCTTGGGATTTTAAGTCGTTCTGAACCTAAGTTGATGGAAGCTTCTCTTAATAGGTTAATGTTCAATGTAAGTAATTGATAGTCTTGTAGGTGCTTTCATTTAAGTAATGGTGGAACATAACCTTCTTAAAGAAAATCAGTGTTTGCAGACTTAGAACTAAAATATTTAGAGGGAAATAGAATGGGAAAGATTTACCTGTGGAAATGTCACTCTCTAGCTTTTCTGCTTTTGCCTTGTTCTGAGAATCAGTTCCAGAGCAGTTTTATTTGGCTTTTGGAGTCAGGGCTATTTTTCAATAGCCCTAAAGAACAGCAACAGAAGTTCTGAAATCTTGATGTTGATTCAGCATGGAACATAGCAAGGCCAAGGCCTCTCCACTGCATGCTGGACACTGACAGTGGGATATAAGGCTAGATGGATGTCTGGTGGGATTTGGCACAGCAGTTTTTGTGGCAGATGCTGTGAGGTCCTAGGTTATTGAGTAGTGTAAAAGAACCCATCTATTCAACTTCAAAGTGGAGAAAGGGGATGCTGGTACAGAAGGTAGAGTCTGGGTAATAATTCAACTCCTTCTTGTGGGAGTTCACAATATAGACTTGGCACTATTTTTAGTCTCTTAATTAGATTCTAAAAAATCTTGTCTATGTTATAGGCAGTAGTTTAAAGTGCACTCACATTTACATTTGTTTTCTTTATCTGCAGCCCAATGAAAAACATAGTGAGATGAGCGGGAAGCAATCCTTTGCTATTAATCCTAATAGCCATAGCAATCCTTTGATATTAATCCTTTACAATCCTAAAATGAAATACAAATCTGTCTTAACTGTAGGATGTGTGATAGATTTAATGAAGCAAATTCACTTTAGCTACTTGCCTGTTTACAGGCTCAAAATCAGAGCTTCTCAGGTTTCTATCTGGTCATAATCCTGCTTGAAATCAAGTTCAGGTTTCATGATCTCTAAGTTAAAACAGCACAAGCTAAATCCTGGATTACAAGTATTGGCAGTGGCATCCAGTTTTGAATAAAGCCAGAGCATTCCCTTGTGCAGGGATGTAACACCCTGTGTGAAGGCAGAGTGGTGTTCCACTTGAAAAGGTTAGAAACAATAGTCCTTGAGATCCCACACTGAAATTGTGAGGCAGAAAGGTGGTCCCAGCATCTTTAGAAAACACAGAGAAAATGGGCATGTGAGTGAAGGTTTTGGCATATTGAAAATCTTTCTCTGATTCTGAACCAAGAATGGAAAAGTAATTCTGCTGCTTGTTTTTAGTGTTTTGGTTCTCTTGTTTTTGAGCTGTCCTTTAATCACAGAATTTCAGAGTGGTTTGGGTTGAAGGGACCTTAAAGATCATCTAATTTCAACTTCCCTGTCATGGGCAGGGATGACTCCCACCAGACGAGGTTGCTCAAAGCCCCATCCTACCTGACCTTGAACACTTCCCAGGATTGAATCAGCCACAACTTCTCTGGGCAGCCTTTGCCAGTGTTTTATCACCCCTTGAGTAAGGAATTTCTTTTCAACATCTAATCTCAGTCTCCCCCATTTTAGTTTAAAACCCTTTTCCCTTGTCCTATCACTATCTGCATTGCTCTCCCTCCTTTTTGTTAGCCCACTTTAAGTACTGGAAGGCTGGAATTAATTATTGCTTGCAACTCAGGCTTGTGGTAATATGAGCATAAAGTAAATATTTGTCACTTTCTGCTTCTAGGTCCACTGTCCTTCTTTCCACAATGGAAACTGAAGCATTATGATGTTATTGTAGGTGTTCTGTCAGCTCGACACAATCATGAACTACGCAGTGTTATAAGGAGCACGTGGTTCAAGCACCTGAAACAACATCCTGCCCTGAACCAACGGTAACCTTTACTGTTCTTTAGTTTGGGCCTGGGGGCTAGGGGGGGTCACTGTAATGCTGAAATACCTTGATTTTATAATTTTTGTTTTAAAGTGTTTCCTAGTTTATTTGTTTGTTTGTTTTTTAGCATCTTGTATTCTGATAAATTTTTTTAAAGTCTGCTTAACAGTGTATAAGAATACTTCTTGCCTTGGGCTGTAACTACTTTTTTATACACTGCTGTTTGCTTTTGCAATTACTTGCCACTGTTTATTAGTGATGTATAAGCCTTTCTCTTTTCTGTGTTGCGATGTATGGTGTACAACTTGAATCCTTGGTAATCCAGGATTTTTGAAAGCAAGCAGGATTGCATTTGGTTAGAGAACCACGAAAGCTCTTGCAAACAGCCTCAACTGTAAAGTTCAGGTTTGTTTCCCACTGAACCAGGTGCACCAAACTGCTGCAGTGTGTGGCCCTTCCTGGCTGCTTGCATAGACCTGACAGTGTACAGACAGGTCTGTTTTTGCTGAGAAGCTCTGCTGCAGTTTGTCCCCGGAAACACTGCCATCCACACACCTTGATACCTGCCTTGCACTGAGAGCATTTTGCTGTTCCCAGATTAGTGTCAGCATGGAGCCTGGGCTGCAGCATAGCCACCTCAGTCATCTAAAACTGTGACCTTTCATAGCTTCTATGGAGTTCTGGGAGGACATTTAGCTGCTGGGTAAAAAGATAGGCAAAGGTGGATCCTTGCTCTTTGTACTTACTTGATGTCTTCCTACTATGGAATAACCATGATTGGAGCTGGGCTGGGGGGAACCTCTTGTTTTGCTACAGCCCAAAGTTGAAATATTTCATTGTAACAGGTAATCTGGAATCCTCATTCCTCCTTTGATGCTATGTGTCTTTTTTCTTACTATTTTTTTCACTGACTTTTGAATGCGTAGTATTTAAACAATCTTGAATTAAGTAACAAACCCAGGCTAGGAGGGGCATGTCTCTGGGATCCTTCAGTGTTTTCTTAGGTCTTTTTTCTGTTTAGTGTGCTGGCTGTCTTGTCTCTCATTTCTAGCTGGCAATCTTCTTGCAACCTCATAATGTAAAATGTTAATGTGGATTTGGAATTGAGCTCCTGTGAGGGGATTCATGTGGTTGCTCTGCATACCAACTGTCATTGCTGATTTTTAAGAGGTTCAAAATCTTAACCCTGTGAAAGACAGGTCATGGTGATAAAATTAAGTTTATTGAAGATGGGGGGAGGAGGGGAGAGAACTAGTGTTAATAAAAGCAAATTATTTCAGTGTCCTTGTGAAGTTTATAATAGGTGCGCATGGTTGTGCTGTACCAGTGAAGGACAGAGAAGACCCCTACTCCTGCAGACTTCTGAACATCAGTAACCCAGGTATAGAAGTTAACTTTTAAAAATTCTGTGGTTTGAACTAGAGCTAGACATCTTATCTGAGAGTAGTTTGGGGAGTTTCATTGAGACAGCTACTCTTGAAAACAAATACCTCCTAGAACTTGTTGCATAACCTTCCTGTAAGTACCGTGTGCAGGCCAGAAAGGGAGAGATTTTTGGGCATGTGAAGGAGCGTCCATTGACTTCTAATGGATTTGCATTTTTCTTGTGTCTCTCCCATATACAATACATTTTTACTTGATGTAAGTGTTAAATGAAGTTGGAGAGAGACAGAATGACCTGGCATAGTGTCAAATGTGAAGAAAGTAGCAAGGTGACAGTCTTGAGTGTCAGATGGACTTCTCTGGTGACAAAGTGAATTCTCTAAGCAAGTTTGGCTGATTGGTTTTTCAGATTCTGCTTTAGAGAGAAAACACTTAAGAAATGTAAAATGGAGGAAAAAAATTAAGTGCCATACAGAAATTCCTAACTAAAATTTTAACTTTTTCCTGTCTCCTTTTGGATTTTATTTAATTCTTGCTCTTTAATACAGTTTAACTAAGGACTGCTAGGTACTTAAGCCATGATTCAACACAAAATGTAACTTCGGTTACTTTCTATTTGTCTGACAACATCTACTGTTCCCAAGTGTAAATGGTACCTCAGGGCTTAGGTAGGCGATAATGCCAAAAAGCAGACAGCTGAATTAAGTGGAGGTGTGTGCCATTTTGATACATGAATAATTATTTTATTATGCTAATATACTGGTATTCCTGCAGTGAAATAGCATTTTTGTCTTCCTGCTGTGGATTTATTGTGTTTCTAATCTTTGCCCTGTGGATATGTAGGCATTGAGTTGCAATTGCTATTAGCCTGCAGATTGCTGTATTGCTGAAATTTTTCTTGCTGCATTCTGCAGCCCTTGTATTTTCTTTTACTCCAGTGTTTGATTATCCTTGTGCACTTGTGAGCCATACTAATTAACCAGAATGCTTTGCGTGTAGGCAGTGTTCTTTGTGTATATCCAGGAACTATGAACTTTTCTCCCCTTACCTCTGGCCTTTCCTTTTCTTTCAGTTTTGAATCAGGAAATTGAAGCATTCAGTCTCCCTGAGGACATACCTTCTGTGCTGTCTGAAGACAGAATCGTCAGTGTGAACTTCCGTGTGCTTTACCCCATTGTCATTACCAGCCTTGGGGTATTTTATGAGGCTGATGGAGTGGGATTCCAGAGGAACATCACTGTAAAGCTGTACCAGGCAGAACATGAGGTAGAATATTATAGTTATTTTTTGAAAGCATGATATCTCTTTTTTGTGCATTAAGTTCTTAAAGAAAGTGACATGCTGTGTTGGTGAGTTAGAAGAGGAATACTTAACTGACAAGTTTATGAATTATATTTTTCTTTTATTGCATTTTAAATTCACATATATGTATACAGAAGCACATCCTGGATGAGGAAAAGATGAAATTTCCAAAGTGCTATGTATTACTCTAGATGCTGTTATGAAAAAGCACTTACATCTAATTCCAGTGCACAATTTTTTGTTTTTTGGGCTCTAAATTATTGATAGTTATTAAGGAATAAAAATTGAGCTATGTAATATATTTAAAATGCTTGCAGAAACATGTATTTGGTGTCTTCAAGCAGAGATGCAGGACAGCTGTAATTTTTCCTGTCTGTCTTTTATCAAGACATTTTAAGATTTCTAGAAACTGTTATTATTTACTGGTAATAATCAACTTCATTGATCATTTCCCCCAGTCCCAAACTGTTATGGGCTTGACAGAATAGCTTTGTGATTTGGAGGGAAAAAATTTTTTGAGCAAGATTGTTGCATTTGATAGATTACATTTATCTCAACCAATAACTTGATAGGCCAATTTCAAAACTTCTGCCTGTGCTACAGTAGAAAGAATTGTAAGTATGACTTCTGTGATGAACTTCCAAGGATTTTGGTTTATAATAGCCATTATAAAAATAAAGTTATACTGTAATCAAGTTCATGTTTCCTAAACTGTAGAATTCCTAAATGTTCAATGTCTGATAATTTTATCTGCATTAGTTTTTTAGTTCCAGTGAAGGAGAAAAGTTGGTTACATGAGAGAGTTTGGAAACTGTTTTTGAAGATTGGAATTTGGCAATGAATAATCTTTATGTAATTTGTTATTATCTAAGAGCCATTTTGTGGCCTGTGTAATGCAGTAGTACTTTTAATGTGTGTTGTGTTTTTTTTTTAATTTTGGTTTTTTCCTCTTGTTCACAGGAAGCCATCTTCAGTGCTCGCTTTAGTCCGCCAAGCTGTGGAGTGCAGGTGAACAGATTGTGGTACAAGCCAGTAGAGCAGTTTATTTTGCCAGAGGTATGTGCAGTATCAGAACTGCCAGCAGTTTTTTTAAGTCATCTGGACAGACTGACTGATAAAACTGGCCTTTGGCTGAGGCAGAAAAGGGCAAGTGAAAACCTCTAGAATGTTAGTTCACAGAATCCCAGAATGGGTAACTAGTTGCAGGGATATGCTGAAATCCAGTATTTGTTGTATAGCATCCTGTTATCACAGGTAGTTATAAAGCATAAGACTGGAAAATACAAATTGATAAAAAATTACTTTGTCAAATACTAGCAACTTCAGAAAACTAATCTATTTCTGATTGAAAACTGTACCTGCCTTGATTCTTTGGGAGAGTTTACCAGAACATGTGGTGCTTCTTTTTCCCTTCTGCTTTATCAGACATTAGCACACAAGACAGGGAGGGGAGGATGGCACAGGTTTCTAGAGAACAGCTGGAAAAGAGGTTTCTGCATCTGATGTCTTGGACATAACATCAAGATATTGTGTGTTATGTTTGCAGTGACAGTGTTATTTGTTTTTGGTATAGGGATATGGATCCTACTTGTGGGTGCATAGGAAGGAAGGGGATTAAACACAAAAGGAACAGAATATCGTAGGAATGTACCCTGATTATTTTACAGTGAAGGTTGAATATGAGTAAAGGTTGGCTCAGAAGGAGAATTTTAGTTAGCAGACCCTCTCAGGTACAAGGAATTGTTCTCAGTGGACCAGTGATCTCTCGCTAGATATCTCGGCTACCGTTTTGGACAGTTTCCCTTAATTTAAATATTTTCTTGGACTCTTGCTGCTGTTTCTGTAAGTTGTCTTTAGGCCTGGGTTGTTTTATTACTAAAGAAATTGTGTTATGAAAGAATGAAGCAAGAGAAGACTGAAGAGGGAAGAGAGGACAATTTGGGCCAGTTTATTCCCTGATTTATTCCCCTGGCTCTATACTAATGAATGCATTTGGAAATCTATTAATTTTAAGGGGAATCTGCAGCTGTCTGATTGATTTATCATCTTAGGCAGTGTTTACTGGATACTGTGCAAGTTGTTATGCTGGCAGGAAACCTTTCAGGTGAGCAGACCACTTGCACTATTTTGTGCATATGCTTTGGCGATCTAATTTCATACTAAAACGATTAAGGGTCTATTTTACGTTTTTAAAAAGAATATTGGTTACCCAGTAATTTGGTAGTCTATCATGTGAGTCTTTTCCCTGTAAGACTTTGTTATGAGATGCTAAAATTCCAGGCAGTTGTAATTTAGCTATAAATGGTTGCAGTTTTCCTGAGAGGCAGATGGGAAGTACTTCCTTGAGAGAGAGAATATTAGTATTCATATATTTCTTTGTGTGGGCTTCCTTAATCTGACGTGTGTCATGCGCTGAACGCTTACAGGGTAACACGATGTTTCTAACGTAGATTAATGGGGCTTAGGCACAGCATGCAGTCTCCTGTGATGCTCAGGATGCTGAGGCATACACAATGATTCAGAAGAGGTGGCAATGCCCACGTGTTCCTGTCTACTTGTTTGAGAGCACTAAATTTAGTGAACTGTTTAATTGTCATAGGATGCTGTCTGAGACAGTGTCTATTCTCTGTCTTTCCACCTTGAAGAAGTAATGGATTGTACAGACTGCTGAAGAGCTTCATTCATCTTGCAGCTGAAGTGCCGCTCTTTCTGCTCGTCTTGGGGAAAGGAAAGGAAATGCAGCATTAGAATAAGCATCTGGCAGGCCAGATTGTGAGAGACAGAATCGATCATTCAGCTTTGGAACCACTGAAAGCACAGAACAGCAGAAGCACCCGCAGATAACTAAAACAAACAGGGCTCTTACAGACAAGTCTTAGCAGTGCACTTATTTTGTCAGAAAGCCGTGGGCCACTTGCATGAAGATGGGACTCTGTACTGCACATACTCTGTGTTACTAATGGGGAGTAGTTGGAGGAACAAAAAGCACAGCACTGTTTAACATTGGAAAGGAGTTTGGCAGGGCTGCATTATGTCAGTTCACTTCTTCGGTATTCACTGTAAATGCCACTGCGCTCTGGCAGCAACAAGGCTGGAATTTAAATGGGGAAAAACAGATGATGTAGTCTCAGGTGTGCCACTAATGTTTTTGCTTTAAGCATTTTCAGGCCTCAGCTTTCATTAACTGGTTTAGAGTAAGAATAGCTGAGGCTAAAGTCATTAGAAAATTTGCTTATGAATCTCTCAACCTAGAAAGTAATGATAGTTTGCAGCCTCAGGACACCTTACACTGAGGTTCACTGGTAGTAACTGATTAAGACTCCTGGTACATTTGAAGTCAGTATCAGTAATAGTCAGTGGTGAGAATTGTAATGTTTCTGCTTGCTGAGGCATGAAGGGACTCTTGCTCCTAAAAGACTCTTCTGTTCACTAAAGAACTTTCCAGAGGTTGTGTCTATAAAGAGGACACTGAAGTGTGATTAGAGCCCAATCCCTACAGCAAAAAACGTTGGAATGGGAGATGACAGTCACTGCAAAAAGAGTAATTGAGCCACTAGAAAACTTAATATTGGTCCATTTATTTTGATAATTGAGAAATAATTAAACAACAGAAAGCTGAGTATGAGCCAGCAGTGCCCTGCAGCCAGGAGGCCTAGCCTTGTCCTGATGTGCATTCAGGCACAGCATCCTCAGCCGAGCAAGGAAGGGGATTGTCCTGCTCTGCTCTGCACCTGGGCAGCCTCACCTCAAGTGCTGGGGGCAGTTTTGGGTGCCACAATATAAGAAAGACATTGAACTGTTAGGGAGTGCCCAAAGGAGGGCAATGAAGATGATGAAGGGCCTTGAGGGGAAGGAATTTGAGGAGCAGCTGAGGTCACTTGGCCTGTTCAGCCTGGAGAAGACTGAGGGGAGATCTCACTGTAGTTACAGCTTCCTCAGGAGGGGAAGAGGAGGGGCAGGCACTGATCTCTTCTCTGTGGTGACCAGCGACAGGACATGAGGGAATGGCCTGAAGCTGCATCAGGGAGGTTTTAGGCTGGATATTAGAAAAAGGTTCTTCACCCAGAGGGTGTTTGGGCACTGGAACAGGCTGACCAGGAAAGTGGTCACAGCACCAAGCCAAGAGTTCAAGAAGAGTTTGGTCAATGCTTGCAGGCAGAGGGTGTGATTTGGGAATGGTCCTGCAGGGTCACGAGGTGGATAGAATGATCCTTATGGGTCCCTTCCAATTCAGCTTATTCTGTGAAGCAAGGGAAAGGTATTGAGCATGGAAGTCAGGCTTGAATAAACACTGGCTAGCTCCATTATTAGCTTATAAAGCTGGCATTTAAATAATAGATGAGAGATTTCTGAAATACACACAGAGCTGTCATTAAACACTGAGACTGCTGCAGATGTTAAGATGTGCTTCTAGAGGAAAGCAATAAAGTAAGCTGAACTAGAATCTAGACTTAAAGGTGTTTCAGTAACTGGAGGATTTTTGGAGAAGGTTTCTAGTGTTCAAGGAAGATAAAATGGGAAAGAGATGAGAGGTTGTGATATAAGTAAACAGACTTCCTACAGCAACAGAGATGCATGTACAAACAAGTTGTTTTTCTCTTCCAACACCCACACTAACAACCAGTGTGTTTCCTATGAAAGAGACAAAATGGAATGTGCTCATCTAGGTGGCGGGAGTATAACAACCCTACCTTTTCTAAAGGAGAAATTGCTTTAAAAATTAAAAAAAATAAAATTCTGCCAATACTCTTATTTGTACAACTTCCCACCTACTCCTTTGCATGTTCTCAAAGGTCTTCAGTTTAAAGTTGAGATGAAGTCCTTTCAAATGCAAGAATTTACACACACACACACACACACACACACACACACATGTGTAAAACATGGAGTGGCATAGCCTAATTTCACTGTTAAAACCAGAAAATTTTGAAGTTATTCACTTGTCTTTTTCTTCCTTACCAGCCAAGATGTGAGGTAAGACTTCTGTCAGTCCTACAGTAGCTTGTGACACCTTTACTCCAATAAAGGTGGCTGTATTTTTCTTTTGAGTTTTGCTGCTGTCAGGATCCAGTCTCTGATCTCTGTTTGGCAGATAAGAATAAAAGCTGAGCTTGTTCCCAAATCTGTTTTAACCTATTCTCTTTGTAATGCAGGATTTTATATTTGATTTTTAAAAATTCACTTCAGGTCACATTTAGATGTTATTTTGATGATTTTAGAAAGCTTTCTGTTAAAAGTTTAATATAGCGATTCATGATTAGTCTTAAAAGAATGATTACGTGTTGCTGAGTTTCATGGATGTGTTTTATTTATGTGTCATTTATTTTTATTGAAGTGTAAGTAAAACATTTATGTTATGCCCTCAAGCTAAATCTTGTGTGAAGTTTACTATTTTAAAATACTTTTAATGAGCCCAAACTGTTTGACTTCCATTTTTTAAAGTCTTGTATACCTGCATAACTGTATTTTGCTTTCTTACCAGAGTTTTGAAGGTACCATTGTGTGGGAGAGCCAGGATCTTCAGGGCCTGGTTTCAAGAAACCTTCATAAAGTGATGGTGAATGATGGAGGAGGTGTTTTCAGAGTCATTACAGTGAGTCCCCTCACCTTCCTTTCCACCATGTTTCTATTTTCTCTATAATTGTCGAGAATTTAGCATTTTACTTTACTGTGTTTCTTTGTGTAAATCATTAATTCAGTTGGGCTTCTCCTTTTGTCTCAGAAGAGAAGTTTTGCTTTGCCTTCTTGCAGAAAAATTATGCTCGTAAGTGGCATTTTATTTTGAGGGGAGTAAAGCTCTCATTGTTTTTGTGAGAATGTGAAGCAGTGTCAGTATATCAGAGATGGCAAAATGTGGGTCAAAAATCCTGTGCTAAATTCCCAACTGTGATGGGATAAAGTCTGGGTATTTGCTTTTTGGCAGTGTGTCTCTTTTCGTCTCAGATTGTTGCTTGCCTAAACATCCTGTGTAGTCGTAATTTAGCCAGAATAATTTTCCATTTTGCTGTCAACTTCAAAACTAGTTTCCTGAAAGTTTCAGTGATACTGATAATTTTGGATGAAACTTTAAAAAATGCCACAAAACTTTAGTTAAAAATCTTAGTCTTAGTCTTCCATGGCACATTGTGTGATTCTTGGGGTGATCCTGTGCAGGACCAGGAGCTGGACATTAATAATTGTTGTGGGTCCCTTCCAACTCAGGATGTTCTGTGATTCTGTGGTTATGCAAGTGCCTGAACCAGCAGAGCTTTAAATTAATTTAATTCTTAGTTGCCAGAAAACTTCACACTTTAAAATCAGAGGTAAAACACATCAATAATGAGAGATGAATTAATTTATTAATTTCAATTAATCTGTTCCTAACAGGCAGGGGAAGGGTCACTGCCACATGAACTCACAGAAGGTGTGGAGGGAATAGCAGGTGGTTTTATCTACACTATTCAGGGTAAGTCCACAAAACGTAGCATGACATTTGATGTTATGCTAAAGCAGGTAATTTAAATTACACTTCTGAGTATAATTTGTACTGTCTCCATGAACTTAGTCACCCTAGGTTTTCTTTTAGTAGAAACACTTTCTTCCTGGCTGTTACGCTTAAAGTCAATGTCCTGATGTGGTTCCTTTGCTTGCCTTTTGTCAGCCACTCCAGTTTATTTGCATCCCTTTGACTTTTTTCTAGACTCTCTCCTTGTTCTTTGCTACCCAAAATCAAGTTAAAAAATGTCATGCAATGAAATCTTTCCCTGATATTTTTTACACTTTTCCCCAGTTCTGGTGCAGTTAGAGGTACTGTATCACAATGTTTAATATGGACAAACAATTTCCATTCCTCTTGTTGCTCTTCTACACCTGTCTCAGCAGAATTTTGAGAGATTTTGTAGGAGCCCTTTCCAGTTTCTAAGATTTTGGCCACATAGCACTGGAGTCAATGTGTTCTTTTTGGTCCATTGTAGCCAACAAAAGCATTGACTTTGAGAGTGTTATTGCTGTTTTTCTGTAGCTGGGCCTGGCAGATACAATTGGGCAGTGCTGTTGTCTTGTCATCTCTGTAGGAGCCTGAATTGAGGTGTGTGCTACAGCCCTTCCACCTTGTTTGTCAAACTTTTCTTCAGTACCACAAACTACCTCCTTAACTGCAATACATTTTTAGCTTTTACCTGCAGTTATGTGATGTGGTTCAGCAGGGACCATCTGTGCTACATCAAAACCTATTTGATTATATTTAGCATAGCATTGTTTGGTTTTTTTGTGTGTTTATTTTTTTATGCTAGATACATATACTTAGGAGGAACTGACAGTGGCCTTTTTATTCTACAGTAAGAGAAATAGTGAAGTCCCAGACTGTTCTTTATATTAAGGAACCTTAGAAAGTTGAATTCTTTTATTACTGAAGAGGAAGAGAATGCTTTTTTACTTTAAACTTTTAGTGTCAGGCCTTATACAAAAATACATTTCTTCATTGTTCTGGAACTTCAACCATTTTGTAGAATTTTTTTAAATTAATTGCAGGATTTTCATAACCCAAATTATTTGAATGCTTCTTCAGATTCATTTTGTCAATGAGTGCCCTGTATGATGCAAGAGAAATATGAAATAATATGTAGATATGCATCTTTGTTTAATAATGGGTGCTGTTTCTTTCAGAAGGTGATGCTCTTTTAAAAAGCCTCCATACTCGCCCAGAAAGGTTTGCAAGTCACGTAAGAAACCTTGAGAAAGAAGATGCTTTATTGAAGGAAGAAAGCAGTATGTATGATGACATTGTTTTTGTAGATGTGATTGACACTTACAGAAACGTTCCCTCCAAGCTGCTGAACTTCTACCGCTGGTAAGTTGAAAATGAAGTATTTTCTTATTTTCTCTTAGGAATGGTGCTGTTTGTAGTCCAAGATGATCTAGCGGATTATGTTACTTGATAGGTTCCATGAAATACATGCCTTATGTGATTTACTTCATTAAGTTGTATTTCTCTCTAAAAATTTCGGGTGCATGTAGTGAGTAAAATGGCAGTGCCTATAGTTTTTTGAGTGCTGATCCTTGGTGCCTCAAATCAGCACAAGCTGGCAAGACAGGCTTCTGCTCTAAGAGTCCAGGTGTAAAAATGTTCATTTCTCCTTGTAATTTCTTTCCATTTGTATCTAACTGAAAACTAGCAGTTTTAGTATTTTAAAGGATGGCTTTTGGCCAGCTTGTGTACTTACTCAGTGTCTCAGTTTGTGGCTGTTGCTCCAGTCCCACAGTCATCTTGATGGGCCTTTGCTGGACTCTCTGCCCTGTATGGCTGTGTCCCTCTTGTACTGAGGAGTCCAAGACTGCACACTGTAGTCCAGCTGTGGCCACAGCAGTGCAGAGTGGAGGGGAAGGATTGGAAGCTTGTGTACAGGGGACAGAAGCCTGATAGGAAGAATTTTCGTAGTGTAATTGCAATGTCTGTGGTCAATCTAGTTAGTTTCTACCTCTAATTTGCAGTGATTTCCATTACTCTGAGACAACTGTTTCAGTTAATTGATGCTGCTGTGGAGTAAGAAATACAGTTGACAGTTGTAATTTAACCAAAATTCATTTCAGTTGCTTTCAAGATTATGCACTTATTTCACAAATTCCATGGCTATGAATGTAACTGAAAAACTGAACCATGCTTTCAGTTTTAAAAGGAGGTTTGCATGTCAAGATTTAGATCTCTGTGATAATTTCTTACAGATTAGCCATTTTTCAAGATTTAGTAATAAAAAGCTTTTAAAAGTACTTTTCTTGTTATAAGAAACTACCCTTAGAAATGTTTGTAACCAACCCAATGATCCCTAGAATCTTAAGCTTTTTTGGTTATTTTATGTGTGTCATGTTCAACTATTTCAGACAGGTAAAGATAACATTTTTCATGTTTGAAGGTGCATTTACAGAGAAGGAGTGAGTACAGAGTTGTTTCCACAGATGTTTTTTACCACCTGCAGCCTTCTCATTGTCCTTGAACTGACTGTCTCATTCTGAAAGTAGGCTACTGACGTGTAGCCAGTGGCTTTTAACAGCTGTGCTGTCATCAGCATCAGGAATTCATATCCTTCTGAGGTCAATACTGCTTAAGATGGTTTCATTAGTAAATTCACCACCTGTCCTGGAGAACAAAACTTCAAATTTGTTTTCTTCTGCTCATACAAGTCCATGTTTTAAGATCATCGTAGGATACAGCTGCATCTCCTTTGAGGCAGTCAGCCTTTGGTCGATAGAGAAAACGTTTAAAAGTCAAGGGTAGCAAAGACATTCCTTCCCTCTTTCTTCCCCCCACATCCCAAAAGACCCGTTGCAGAGCATGCTGTCTGTAGTTTGTGGTGTGCAGCTCAGCATTTCATCACTTTTCATTTTGACTACAGGACAGTGGAATCAACGAGTTTTGATTTGTTGCTGAAGACTGATGATGACTGTTACATTGATTTGGAAGCTGTTTTTAACAGGATAATGCAGAAAAAATTGGACAGGCCAAACATTTGGTGGGGAAAGTAAGTTGTTTTTTAAAATCACCTCTAAGAGATAGATACCCTTTCTTTAGTGAATGGTTTAGTGATTTAAGTATGTTTTCATGTGGGTTCCCCTCCTATGCCTAAGGAAGCCAGTTGTAAAAAGCAGGACTTCTGTACATGTTAAACTTTGAATCTCAGAATCAGAAATCAGTCCTTTACAATAACTTTCCAGAGTATGCCTTTACAGTGATTTAAACTTGCTGAGTATCTTGCCTGGTTTTAAAATGTGTTATAGACATCTTTGTCATGGTACTTAAGTAAATAAGAATTTTCCAGCAATACAGTGAAGTTAAAAGTAAAGTACATAGTACAGAACTATAAATATTACTTTTTATGATGTCACTGTGATTTTTCTCATGGGCTTGAGGAAGTGGGGTAAAAAGGAGAAACAAAATTTCTGCTATAGTCTGCACTTTATTGTAACATCTGTAAATTTCAGGCATTGCTATCCACTTCTGCTGTTTGGAATAGCAGATCTGATTGATAAAATTTTGACTGAACTTTCCCAGCCTGTATTACATTTGTGAATAATCAGGAGGATCAAAATAGCCCATATCTTCCCTTCCATCCATGGAATGCACTGCAGCTCTGGTATGACATCCAGTATAGCAGGAACTCTATGCTGCTTCAATATAACATAATGGTGCAATGTGCCTTCCTGTTGCCCTTTGCTCATTGAAGAAAAACAGACCTTTGCTGCTTTGCTTCACAAATCTGGTCCTGCCTGTTGCTTACACATAAAGTGATGTAATAAGGTGTGTGTACAAAGATCTGTAGGAGTGACATCTCTAAGTGCAAATTCTTTAATAGTCACAGTCTTCAGCTCAGGCAAGTGTGACGTGTAGGGAATAACACTGAAATAACTATGGAAGTATAAAATTATTATAAAATCATTTAAAGTATAAAAGCAGATGCTTCTCAGTCTGGAGGGGGTTTAACCTTTCGTGCTGATTCAGTGGAGTGGAAGATACTGTGCCTGAAGTGAATTCAGGTATCAGATGAGACTTTCATTTGCTTTGTGCTTTAACGTCAGCTTCAGTTGAGAATGGGCAGAATCTGATAACATATCTGGCACTCAGCCGTAATTCCTCCCTTTCGGGGCTGTTGTCTGAGGTGAGTTCTCAGTAGCCCACTGAAGCTTTCAGCTGCTTGTGTGCATGACTGGGAGTGAGCAATGCTGAACCTCTTTGTGAAACAGGGGGAGACCCTGCTGCATTGACACAGTTATGTCTCTTAGCTGTGACTGCATGGAGCATGTGTGAAGCCAGTGGAGTACAATAGCAGCTTGTTCCCAAACAGGGAAAGCAGGATGCTTTTCACTGCCTCACTCGCAGTTTGACAGGGTCCATAGCGCTGCTCGGTGCGGCAGCGAGCTCTGCCATGCCGGGAGCGTGTGGGGAGACCGTGCAGACAGAGACTGCTTCCTGCAGGCCTCTGGGAGTGAATAAAGCCTTCCTTAGAAAACACACTGCCAGGAAGAGTTCTTTTGTAATTCAGTGATGGCAGCCTTTGAACATCTCCTTTGTTGAGCTTCATTTGGAAAACACCTTAGAGAAGGTACTACTGCTTCCTGATTTTTAAGCAGCCACTAGTTTTAACAGGAAAATGGGTTGCATAACATCACTGTCTGTGTGTCTGCTGGAGGCACTGCCTTTGTGTCATGTTGATTAACCAAAGGGGTTAATTAGCAGGAGACAGATGTGCCTGTTACAAAATAGGTAAGGCTGTGTGTGCTTACCTAATTCAAAACCCAACAGCAAGGTGCAGATGCTGAAAACCTGATTGTCAATGTTGCTTTTGTTTCTGGTTTGAAAACTTTCTCTTATTATCCAAGATTGAGACAAAACAACAGTTACAATTTCAGCTTTGTGCCCTAGAGAAATAAGACTAGGAGCTATAATTAGGATCATCTACTTCTCTCAGTCATTTGTTATCAGTATTACTTCAGTTGTTATCAGTGTTCATAGGTTCCACAGAGGACTCTCTATAAACATCTCATGTCTAACATGTCTTCAGTTTCAGACTAAATTGGGCAGTTGATCGAACTGGGAAATGGCAAGAACTGGAGTATCCAAGTCCTGCATATCCAGCCTTTGCTTGTGGGTCTGGCTATGTCATCTCCAAAGACATTGTGCAGTGGCTGGCAAGCAACTCTGAAAGATTAAAAACGTACCAGGTGATAAAAATTAGTTCAGTTTTTCTGTGTTAAGTCGGCTGGGGAACAGCATGTACTGGGTGAGTCAGAATGAACATTGTTCAAGTGTTAGTGTTGGGTTCTCTTGGCTCATGTGAGCTTTTGCCATGCTTTTGGTTGCTATGCTTAGTGCCTGTTCTAAGTCAAACCACAGATATTTTGGACTGAGAACCTCTGGAGCTGTAATCTTGTTTTTTGTACTTGTTTTTGTAAGAACAGTGTATTGTCACGGGAAAGGTAGGAGGATTATTTTAACACCTCTGCAGTAGTCTGGCGTAGGTTTTTGTAGTTACCATTCTTTACAGATGATGCAACTTCTTCCAGGTCACAGTCATGCTTTATGCTTTCTTGGTGCTCATATATGTATTTTTTATTTTCATCTCAGGGTGAAGATGTGAGCATGGGCATCTGGATGGCAGCTGTAGGACCCAAGCGATATCAAGTAAGTCTGAAGGAATTGTCTGACCTTACAGAAGGAGGAGATGCCTGCTGTTCCAAGTAAAATAAAATAAAATGGGAGAAAGTTTTTTTTCCTTTAAAAATGAATTGCAATAACCACTGAATTAAAATCCAGAGGCAAACAAATTTTTGAAGATGTATTTGAAAGAAAAAACACAAAACTGCCACAAAGTACCTGCAGCCTCCATCCCTACCCCCAAGTTCTCTGAACAGGTCTAGCAGATGAGTTTGGGAGCTTTGTGTGCAATGTTTGTTGCTAGAAACAATAAACACCTGATTCTTGGAAGTGAAGATTGTTGGAGACTACATACTTGCTAAGGAAAACTATTGAAATGTTTCTCTCTCTTAACAGGATGGTCTCTGGTTGTGTGAGAAGACATGTGAGAGTGGCATGCTGTCTTCCCCCCAGTACTCGCCCCAGGAGCTGGGAGAGCTCTGGAGATTAAAGGAACTGTGTGGAGATCCATGTAGATGTGAGGAAAGATGATTGAGTTGCCTTGGAAAACAGGGCAGTGTATAATGATGATGGAAAAGTGTACATTTGGATTCATTCCTGGAACAATAAGAAATATTAAGGTACCTTTTAATGCTGGGTTTCAATTAAAGTATAACAATATTTGCACATCCCTTTTGATAATTACAAGTGGACTGATACTATTCATTTTCTATAGTATAGATGTTGATCAGACAAAAACCAAAATGTTCAAGATTTAAAAAAAAATCCTTTTTATATAAAGTCAAAGACCTACTTGTAATTAATAAATGCACATAAGAATGCCAACTAGCCTGTCTTTTGTAAATTAAAGCACTACTGATTTGATTCAGTGTAGGGCTGTTCCAGGCTCCTGAGGAGAGTTGTGCTCAGCACCAGGGCAGCTTGGTAAGTCTTGCTGCAGGAGGTTCTGTGCTGTCTGAGGGATTGCCCTCATCTGTGCAGGGACAGGGACAGCAGTGGGGGGGGGGGGCTAGGATTTGTGATTACTTTGTTTATACCATTGTTATTTTAGATAAAAATAAAATCAAGGTTTGCTTATACCAAATCTTCAAGTAGTGCAGGCTTGGCCTCATTTAGGAGGGATTTCTGAGAGCTCACTCTGACTAGATATGAATCTGAGGTTACACAAGTGAAAATAAAATAAGATTGAGGAACAGCTGAAGATCGTAAAATAAATAGCAATGCCTTGCAGTGTGCTGAGAACTTATTTATAATGTGGTATGTTAACACTCTAGGGTAGAAGAAAGGTCTGGCAGATTTTGACCTTAATCATCTAAGGTAGATACTTCTAAAATTACTACTGGGTTTTGTTCACTTTGAGGTCGTTGGATGTAGGTGAAAACAAAGAGCAAGTGGCCTCTCAGTGCAGCACTGATCTTGTCTTGTCAGCAAAGAGATCACAACTCAACCCGGCCCTCGGTTCAGTAAAACAAATTCTCACGACTGCTGGGGGCAGGCAGTATAAAATCTTGGCAAAAGGGTGACCTTGAGTTTTATTTAATTGAAGCATTTAAGCACTATTTGGTATCTCTCTAGTAGAACAAATGAGCAGATGTTTTCATGGAGGCTGATGATCAAGTTGAGGAGCTGAAAGTACAGTTGTGCAGCCCTTTGATGCCACGTGTGTGAAACTCATATTCACCTGTATGTCTGTTCAGGCACAGGCTGTGTGTCTGTCTCTCTTCTGCAGTTCTTGTGTCAGTTTTTCCTTCAGTCCAGCAAGAGAGTCCCTTCCTACCACCGCACTAACACACAGTCTCCACTTTCTATTGAGTAAAACTGCAAAGGCTTTAAGTCATTGTCCAGTTCAACTTCTTTTCCTTCCAACTAGAATAAGAAAGCAAAAAAAAACATAATCAGACTTACACTGAAATCCCTTCATGTAAACCAAATAGCAGGCAGTTGCAGTCAGGGAGAATCTGCCATATTACAGGAATGAAGACAGCTCTCCTCAAGTGAAATGAATTTCTTTAGACAGTATTTTAAAACATGCTATGGACCTTTAGCAGCATGAAATATTTTGTTCTTGAGTACCCATTTTTAACTCACTTTAGAACTTTTGTAGGACAGTTTCAGGTCCGAACCAGGAATTTTAAATAGGCGATACAGCAGTCCTTTGACCTTCTGAATAGTCATAGACTCTGTGGAGGGGAGAGAAAGAAAAGTTATTAGGAAATGCTGCTGCCACTGTAGCAAAGTACCAGTGTGTCACTTTGCTTGCTTATAGCAACAGTGAAAGGCTGTATTGCTGCTTCAGTTCTAACACTGCAATAACGTCTTTGGTACCTGAAACCATATCTGCTACTGTCAGGGGGAAAATGGTTTAACCTGTGGGGGATAGGATGTGCTACTACAGATTAAGTACTTTGATCCCATGCACCAAATTAAAGTGTTATGGCTTCATAATTTACCTTTTTTTCAGTTTGTATTTCTACATGCTAAACTAAGTGACCTTTGGGACACACACCAGCCAGGTTCTGACTACTTCCATCTGGCAACTGTTCCTTGCAGTTTTCTTTACCAGGAATCGGCTTTCCCAGCACAAGTAAGCAAATGGCATGGTGGAACTAGTGACATTCTTAGGAATGGTATTGAGTTATTAGTCCCAAACACATTGTCAGCAGAGTTCTTTATATTATGAAGTCAGTTAGAGGAAAGGGTATTTTTTGTAATGGATCTTGAATGAGTAGATGTAGTTTGTTCCAGAGGTGATACCTGTGTTTGCAATAGATAAACTCAGATAAATTTTGGTTGAACTTTCACTTCTTTTGAAGCTTTACCTAAAGGCACAGCAATAGCGAGCTACTCCTGTAATACCACACATTGTACTTAGACAAATATTTTTCTATCAAACATTTTTGTAAAAGCTGTATCTATCTGATTTTATGCAACTTGTGATAATAAATGTGATTTTTATTTTAGAATAAAGCTTGAATTCTTCTTTTCTCTCAGACTTCATTCTGACACATCTTTCAAAAAAATCAGCTTAATTTAGAATGGCCTTATTCATTCTAGTATCACTACAGGCATTAAAACTTTCCAAGGATTAATTTGATGGAGGTCAGAACTAGAATTCTAGCTTCATGGATTAGATACTAGACCTCAGTATCTAGATTTACACACTATGTGGTTGCCTCTTAACACTTCACATTCTGATCCACCAGATTTCAACCCCGTTAATTGGCCTTTAATTGCCTCAGACATCAATCATGAAACCAGCAGCAGAGCATCAACTTTACAGCAAAGCATTAACTTTCCATCTTTGTGCTGGACTGAAAGTAAGTATGAAGGCCAGAAGAATTATGACATTTCAAACAATGTCTGCCTTTGTAATTTCTTTATGACAGAGGAAAAGCTTTCAGGAGCAGACAAAGCCAGAGGCAACTGCCATTCTTTAATACAGCTGTTTGAAAAGGAGCGATGAAACAACTGCTTGAACATAAGCCAAGACTTCTTACCTGGTAGTTTTTTCTCCACTGGCTTCTGTTCAGGTTTCTCAGGACATTTAATTGTCAAAGCTTAAGGAAGAAGGGTGAGGCATTAGTGAAAGAACAATAAGCCCTGTTCTGGCAGAAGCATAGTCTTTCTAGTCTCTTTTTATTACAAACTGTTTCCCTTAGCTCAGCCTGATGTCTCAAAAATTAGGAGGTAGCCTGCATCTCAGCAATTAAGATAGCACTTAGTCATTATCTGAAAAATTAATTAATGAAAATAACCACGTTTTTATTCATCTTTGGTAAATTATTGTAGAAGTGACTCCCTAATGCTTAAAGATTAAAGATTTTTTGATCAAAATGAGTATTTACCTAAAAATGCTTAATTTCTATTTAATTTTTAAAAAATAACCTGCAGTAGAATGGAAATTGCTTATTCAGTTTAAAATAGGCTTTTGGTCCTCTCAAAAGCACCATACAAAGACTTTCAAAGGACATCATTAGCCTAATTATTTTACAGAGATTAAAAGACTTATCCTTAAACAAAGGTTTATGTTATGTCTAGCCAATAAGATTCCTTCTTCTATTTAGTCTTCCACCTAAATGCATTAGAATGTAACGCCTTAAAGTACTATTTTGCCCCTGTCGCAAAAAGTTTCCGTTCTTCTATCAGCTGGGAAACACAGCTATATGAATTTGCAAGTTGAGGATGTAACCTAGATTAAATACGTAGACAACCCCAAATACCAAAGCTACCCATGTTTTTCTTGTCTGTCCTAAAGTTAAGAAGTTATTAAAAAGGTAATATCAGTAAACAGAGAAGCTGTCGAGATTAAAACCTGTGATGTTTTTTGTAAAGAAGCCATTCACACTGTCAGAATGGAGTATCAATAACCTTTGTTCTCCATTAAATCTCAGTTGAGAAAATCATTTGGCTTGAGTTGAGGGTGGAAATGAGAGTACACAGAATCAGCTTTCCAGTCAAACTCACTGACACAGTTCAGAAAATCAAAATTACAAGCTGAAACTTTTTGTTCTCCATATACACCTAGGAGACACTAAGCTCATAAAATATTCTAAATGAAAGAAGGAATAATTTTGACCATTTCTGGCCTCTTACTCAGGAGCTGATTTTTCAGAGTCAAAGGCTGTTGTCTCTTCAGTTCTCCTTCTTCAGGTGCTCCATATTCTGTTGGAAGAATGTAGAACCCTTCAAAGACTAAACCTTAAGACCTAGGACTGCTGTGGTGCAGGATGAGGCAGGAATTCCCTTGGTACAGCCGTGGTGGCTCCTGCACCAGGCTGTGCTGCAGACACGAGCCTTGTCCAGCTGCTACAGCATTCAGGACAAGGGTGTGCTCCTTAACATTCCCACTGCTGAGAGAGCCACTGAATGGATGGATGCACACAGGTGCTGGGGTCTCCGAGGCCAGGAGCCTGAGCTCCTGAGGCAGCAGTGCCCCAAAGGGTGCAGAAGCCCACTGGCACACAGGCTTGCCAAAGCATGGGTTTTCCTAAGGCTGTAGCAGCACATGAAAAAAACACCAAGGGGAAGAGAAATTGAAAACAGGCCAAACCAGTGCCACAATGCCAGAGGTGAGGAAATGCTATTGTACTCTGCTTGTACTTACTAAGACAAAGTGTTGGATATCTGGGGTGGGCAGCAAGAAATTCTTCACTTGGTTTGTTTTCCTCTGGGTTCCAATGCCCACCAGCTTCTAGCCAGTCCTTTCCAAATATTTTGCGATAATCAAGTTCTGCTCCTCTTCTTTCAGCAGGAAGGATCTGTACTGACACAGGAATGGCACATAATATAATTATATAACTTATAATATAATTATATAACTTTCCAGAGAATAAAATCTAATCAATGCCACAGACTGCGTGGTCTTACTTGGTGTTCAGTATGTTTCAATGCTACCAAGAATCTTACAAACCATGTCTCCAAATACTGACTGATCCATATATTCAGTATATTTTAGAGCCATTAAGAGTCTTAAAGCCCCTCTGTGTACTCACTGAACCATAAATGAATATCTAAGCAAAGACTTTGCTGTA